GAATTTAACATAGGATGAACACAGCTTACATGAGTCTCATTTTTCTGATTTTGTGCGGCCTCTTAAAATAGTCGTCTGATAACTCTTCCTAGGAAACATATACTCATCAAGTCAAGGAGGAGCAGTAAAGTACACTCAGTTTTACCATTTTAAAAGGTTTTTGTTTCTCCAACTGCTTGACAGTTGAGGAAACTTCTGCGAAATTTTAAGGTGTGAAAAAGGAATGTTATCAATACCAAATGGTTTTCTATTCTTAGATATAAAGACCTAGATGGTGTTGTCTTGTGTTCTCATGATAAAGTTTAGCAGAGACAGAAAATATTTTACCAGTCTTGCTTAGAGTAACCAGGGTGAAACATGGGTTTCAGCCGAGATTTAATCTCTCCTGCTAAGGTTAGTCAGAGACTGAAAATAAAGTTGGTCTTTATAGCTTCAGGGAGAACGAGTCTCCAAGGTTTATAGGCATGCCGTTGAGAAGCTTAGAGGAAGGAGCGAGTCGTCCTTTGAAACTATATGATTCATGTCATACGATGACCGGTTTCTGAAATCAGCCTGGCTTGAAAGAATACCGTGATGTATTAAAGTGTAATCACTGAAGGCACTAAAGCAACACTACTTAGAATCTATATCAGTACGACAGGGTTGTCTTCCATTCTTGATGCCCAGCATGATAAAAGCTTATGCCAACTACAATACAACGAGCTTCTTATTTCAGTTGAGTGATAACTGCTTTCCGTGATAGGAAATTGGGGCACCTCGACTACAGAGCTTCTAGAATAGTGTAACCAAGAGTGGATTTTCGAAAGAAGTTGGAAGCATTATTATATCGTTAGGGTGCTTACATCGATTTTCGCAATATTAAACAAAAGAGGAGGCATCCGTTTAGCTGTTATGTTTGCAGTGCTACCGCCGGATCCATCTTTACTCCAGAGAGAAATATGGCTAAATGCACCCTGAGGCAGCCATACTCTCAAGCAAGCTGCTTAATTGCACAGACAAGTCGCGATTGATACGAGAGTGAATATTACGAAATTCGATTTAGTATGGGTCATACATTGACGCCAGACAGCAAGTAATGTTAATGTGTATACATTTTTAGAGTAGGCATAGAAATTATCACTAACTCCAGAAAAACAATTATGTTAGGGTTATAATTTATATAATATATTATATTCTATTATGATATATATATATATATATATATGATGGACGAAATCTCAGCACGTTTTCACCCGAAACGAGGGAGGAAGTCTTGTGGACTGCGTCAAAAAGAATATCGTATAAAAACCAAACGGCTGTAGTACAACGCAATTCATCCGTCCTCATCTGGTGAGATCGACCAACAAATCTATTCTTCATTCACTTTTATGCGAACTGAAAGTGCCCCTAATAATATTATCTCAAGAGATTCATCGAAACCCTATTTCTCTTCATATCTACGATGGTAGTACTCAATTTTAAGGTCTGGTTTAGGTGATGAATCTACTAGAACTGTTGAACGAGTGTGAACGCGATTATAATCTTCATTGAGCTGACCAGGTGAGTTGTCTTCGTTTTGTTGGTGATTCGAACAGAGATGAAAAAAAGAATCTGGGATAAAAAGGATAACTGCCCTGTTTTGAAATTGATTCAGTAACTCACTTGCCTCCATGTAGACAATCTTGTCCATGGTTTTTAGTCACCTTTATCACTTTGTCGGCTGTCGGTGCCTCGGACGGCAGACGGAACTGTGCCCCACCGATTCGGCCTGCTACACGTCCGATAGTCGCACCCAAATAGCCCGGATTCTCGTCGTAACCTCCGATTAGTCGATTGTAGCCGAGTACCACGTCGTGGAGTACCGGTGCCGTTGTATCGCCTGGGGAGCTTGACTTGGCGGGCAGATGGACCTCGGAGAGTATCGCTCCGAAGGTAACCAAACGGGCTTTGGCCAGACACCAAGGAGCAGGGACATCTGCGGGTGGATGTAGTAAGATGCTGAAAACCGGTTCGCCAGTGTATGGATCTGAGCCGAATGGCTCCATCTGAAATGAAGAGGGAAATGTCCAAATTGTAGACAGTCATAATCCTAATAGGAAGTATCTGGAGTCTATAGGTGGAAACGAAATTGCACACCTTTGAGAATAAGGGTACAATAAAATTCATTAACAACCTCAAAACTTATATTTCCTTTTTAAATGTGAATAGAAACTAGGTTTGAAAGAAATGATAAATAAATTCACATTGTGATATTTTATTTTCTCGATTAAAAACATTGGATAGACCGAATGTGTAACTTGGCCACTATGGAAACCGTGAGAAGCATAGTTTCGAAAAACGAAGGTGAGTGTCTTGCCCGATTATCAAATTCTTGGTCTTTGCATATGACGACCAAACCCTAAGAGAAAGGAAATCGTAAGAACTTCGTATATGTGAAGATAAAATAAATCTTAAAGAATACCTTATTGATTAAGAGTGACGCGATTTTTACTTTTGAGGAAAACTTTAGTTTAGGGGCATTCATAAATTATCCTCACCAGAAACCGAAGGACTGCCAAGTTGTGGGAAGTAGTCATCGACTCACCGTCTAGCCTAAATCCCTCCCTTTCAGACAGACATCAGCAGAGCCGGCAGCCAGCATTTGAGAAAATTCACTAATAAGCTAAATAATCTAAGATAGACAACTACGAATTCCCTTTATTCTATTTAACTAATAATACGATTTTACTTACGCACCCCATAATTTGGATGGCTACTTCATGTTTACCCTAGAAAGTTGTAGAAAAGTAAAGTTGACGGATGTGGATGACGTCACAGATTTTGCCTTGTATAAACAAACTAGAGTTTAGAAGTGGTTTGAACTTGTTTTCGCAACTTGGTCGTATCTTCAGAGTAACCTAGATGAAGGCACCTTGTCCTGAGTCTTCTGCCAACTGTGAAATCCTAGTTGGTATTGTTAATGAGCCGTGCCAGTCTTAGCTTCAAGCTACGCTTGGTTAAAGAGGCAAGTGAAGTCCATCTCATGACCAACCCTCTGCTAAACAGTCTCTCCGGTTCTGGTACATCCACTTATTTACTCTTATAGAAACGCAGCTGCAGACCTGCTTATGTTCATCTACTACAAAAGTGTGCCTTTTTGAAGTGATTTCGTGGGGCCCATGCACACTTCCAGTTGGTTCCAGTACTCCTGAACCTATGAGATAGGTGAATGCCCCAGGAGCCAAAGGGAAACACCACAACTGTTCAACAGAAAGTTAGTCAAGGAATTAATTTCACTTATCTTTTTGACTGGCAAGACCCACTGACGATGCCGACTACGATACCGGTAAAACGTCTGGAAATGTATCAACTTCACTGTTCGACGCTGGAAAATATTATGATTACTATGATAGAGGACTTTGGACAGGGTGCTTTCATCTGTATCGCTTTGACAACACAATATCAAACCACATTTATACAACAAAAAAAGTCTTTGACCACATCTTGGTCTTCACAAATTTGAATAAGCTAGGGTTCATGCGAAGAAAAGTTGGGTTTCGAGGAATCCTTTGGTTCATAATTGTTGAGCTTGCTTCCATTTCGGGTGAAAGTGTTTAGTA